GGGGGGGGGGGTACACACATTACTGACCCCCCTCACACTAACATGTCTGGGGGATGTTATTATGACAAGTTTTACACTGAATATTTGTGCGACAATGAGGCAGGCAGCTGTTTGATGCCTTGATATAGCCTAGTGTTTAAATTCGTTTTAAAAGGTACCCTATTTTAACAACCATTTTGAGCAATAAAAATATATTCATGAAACTACAAAAGGGAAAGTTTAGAGAGCCCATTATTGTTGAGCAGTGAGGATTTGCAGATCGAGCTCTGTGCAGCTGAAGCAGCAGAATCCAGTCCAGCCCCCCATCAGCTTCAGCATGGCTTGCTTCATTAAAGACACACACAAGCAGATTTGCATGACAAAAACAATTTAGTTAGGGGAGGGAAAAACAGTCTAGTGACTTGAGGGTTGGTGCAATGTTGTTAGAAGGATATATCTCTTAAAATCGAGACCTTATTTTAAACATCTGCATAAACATACGCATAAATTAGTGTTTTACATTTTAAGAGTCATGTTGTCTGCAAAAATGTAAGTTAAAACGTGTTTATTCACACTCCGGTGTACTATATGTAATGTCTGTATGTGTAAATCGCCCGTTTTCCAAGTGTACGTTTTTGAAATAATTATCAGACTTCATAATTGCAAATGCAACTGAAAGTTCCGCTTGCTATTCATATTTAATGCGGTTAAATTTTCAATCATTACGCAAAGTTGTATGTTGAGCGGTGCACGCGTGATGTAATGCTACTGCTAACCAGATCAAACTGGCCGTGTGACGCTGAACTTTACACTCTAATTGTCATCCTATTGGCATCGGCTGAGGGCGTCAGGAGATTGGTGCTGCTCGCCGGGCTCCGCAAAAACAACTCCAAATATGTTCAAAGGAAGACTTAACGGTGAAAAACACTCCAGTAAGGTCTACTGGCACACAAAGAGCGTGTAACCTACATTCTTCGCTCAGATGGACTCATTTGTTAGAGTCTGGTTCGTTAGAAAACCCTAATTCGACATATTTCGCTAAACAAAACAAAAAATATGTTTGTTAAATTCTTAATGGAATGAATAATTCCAGTGCCCTAAAATCTGACACCAGACACAGTTTTCAAATACCGCTGAAATGAAACTTAACCTCGCAGTTTGTCTTATACAGACAGTCGCTGCAAATATATGATGAATTCACAACAACAAACGACACGTGTTTCCTCTGTCTGCCGCGGCTGAGAGCAACTTACACACAGGATCGTCCATTTTCAAACTTCTTCCCAGGCGGATGGATGGGGGAACTGTGTTTTCTATAAGCTGAGCAATTGACTGAAATCAACAGAAAAGTGTAAAACTGTTATTTGGTTTATTTTTTATCATCATCATCGTCATCAACAAAAACCGCGAAAATTGTTGCACAGTTTTGTTGTAAAATTGTTTAAAGTTTACAATGCGAGTAAAATGCTGACATAAAGCGTTTAAATAGACTTGCAATCTGGCATATTAGTAACGTTATATAAACATTACGTTTAATAAAAACTTAAAGGGTTTTACCTCAAGTCCAAGGGTATTAAGCATCTCTCTTTTTTCTTTGTCACCCGGTCCAATGTGTCTTTCAGAAAAATCATCGTGTCTCGGCAGGATTCGTTCAATCTTCCTAGACCACAAAACTTGTGAGGTGCCCATACAGCGCACATTTGCAGACACATCTGCGGTTAAACGTTGAAGTTTCTTAAAAACATCCCCTTTACTGCTGAAATTCCTGTACGGCACGCGAGCGTTCATCGACCTGCTGATGACAACACGCCAGGATTTAGCGCAGCTCTGCATGTTCTTCACTTGAGATTGACGAAAATTGTACGGAAGAATCTTTCAGCCAGCCTCCACACCGTGTAACCCACTAAATGTCTGTGAAATTCCTTAAAAGTGTCTATTTTATACGCCTCCTCGTTGCACAGGGCGCAGCCAATCGATAAGGGAACTCTCTCTGACGCAGAGACAAGCCCTATGGCTCAGGGTCCGCCGTAATAACTCGCTCTGAATGTGCTGTGGGGAGTTTGCAGTACGCGGTTTAGAGCTTCATTAGTCACACACTTGGTATCTGCTGGTTAAATGCTTTCTATGTTTTTGCATGTTTTGTAGTCGCGTTCTTGAACGCCCAGTGAAATGCTGAGACAATCGTGAAGCAATCATACAACTGAATGGAGTAGATGCTAGTTAGTGTGAAAATGACTGGGCTTCTTCAGGGGTTCCTCATTCTCCACACCTGCATGGGGAATCCTCTGCAGATCCATTAAAAAGCATGGTTCTCTGGGGGAATATTCAAGATGAAGCCAAGTTCTTGCCAAGTTACTCCATAAGGAAAATGCATCATATATATATATATTTCATACTGAAGTTCCCTACATACACAATACACATAGGATTGTGGATGGAGATGCTTTCTCGAGTGTGGGGAATACATCTATCTATCTATCGGTCTGTCTGTCTGTCTTTCTGTCTGTTGTGTGTGTAAAAAGTGTTTCCATTCTTCTTCTGTTTGAGAGGATTGTTTACTCATAACTTGGTTGGCACTCTTTCAGATTCCATTTAGGAAATAAGTACACAGCTGTGACATACTGAGTATCTGTCTATCTATGCACGTCTGGAATCCAGAAACACATTTTACTCTGAAATTCAAATAAGTCAGCCATACTGTACATATTTATAATAGGCTATCTCTTCTACTCACACACATTAGCCTACTAGAACAGTTCTGGGCTGGTGATGGATCTCGTTTGGCTATTTTGTGATGGAAACCCACAGCTGTTTTACCAGTTTGTGAACATGCCGTTTGCATTTCTGTTTTATTGTTTAGCCAGGCAAGGACATCTCTCAGTAATCAACAGGTACAGTATGACAACATAATCCTTGTGTTCGTTTTCTTAGATCACTTATGAAATTAAATTTGTTTCCACTTGTAAGGTATGTCTATTTGACACTGGGAGGATTCATCTTTGCTATTGTAACAGTGGGTCCATACAGCTTATTGCTGTTCTTCAGTGCCGTCCTTCTCCTGCTGCTGATATATTGTCTACAGCCAACCCATATTCATCAGTGGATGTTGGGACTGCAGATGTGTTGGCAAACCTTCTGGCACTTGTACATCCAGTATCAGTTATACTGGCTTCAAGAGACACCAGACTCCAGGTATTTCTCCAAAATTATGAACTGTATCAAAATTTTTTATTTGATCCTATTGTGAGCTCTCGTTTTATTCCTAACAGGCTATTACTGGCCATATCCGCTCTCATGTTGATGACACAGAGGGTTTCTTCTCTATCACTTGATCTGCAGGAGGGAACAGTCACTAGTCCCTTTCAAAACAGCAGTCAGGATCTATCTATCCTTATACCGTTTCTAAGCTACTCACTTAATTTTCCTGCACTTCTTGGAGGACCACTTTGCAGTTTTAACACTTTTGTGCAGTCTGTTAGGCAAATGAGTGTGACTCCACCTTTGGCTTCATATTTAAGGAGACTTACTTCAAAGCTATTGCAAGTTTTAGTTTTGGTGTGGATTAAATATCCTCTCAAGGAGCTCTTAAAATCAATCACATTTAGAGTAAACAGCCCTTGCGTTTGTCAAAACATAATATGGATCTGGATCCTGTCGCTGCTACTTAAGATGAACTATTATGCACACTGGAAGGTCAGTGAGTGTGTTAACAATGCCGCAGGCATAGGTTTCCATGGGTACAGTCACAGTGGGAAAAAATCATGGGATGGGTTTTCTGATGGCAGTCCATGGGTGACTGAAGCGTTGAGTCGTCCTTCAGCGTTTGCGTGCCAGTGGAACAGAACCACGGCAGTGTGGCTTCGAAGAATGGTCTTCAAAAGATCCAACAGATCTCCACTGTTTATGACCTTTTTGTTCTCAGCGTGGTGGCATGGCCTTCATCCAGGTCAGATTCTGGCTTTCTCATCTGGGCCGTCACCGTGCGTGCAGGGGGACTATAAAATACATCACTTCTTGCATCCAATGCTTACCTCCAAGTGGAGGAAATGGCTGTATGTGTGTCTAAACTGGGCTTTTACTCAACTGACCATTTCTTGTGTTGTTGTCTGTGTGGAGCTCCAGAGCTTAGAGTCAGTGAAACTGCTCTGGTCTTCATATATCGCAGTGCTTCCACTACTGAGTGTTCTGATAATTATAATCCTGTGAGAAATTCACAGATGCAGTGTAAATTATACAAATGTAAAACAAATGTCTTCAAATATCTCATTAAATATAGTAAACATGAAAGCTTAACCAAGCTTGCTAGACCAGCAAGAACATTTGAGCTTATACCATATATTTAACGTGCTCTGTGTGCATCAGTCTATATGTTTATATAAATAAAAACCTAAATTAAATCTGTTCATCATTTGACGTTTTTGTTTCTTTTCATAAGCCTTTAATTAAACTGCTCGATTCGTATGGATTACTTTTAAAATGTCTTTTTTGATGGGTAAAAGTTTTGGTTGTGTGAATTTTTAATGGATTGACAAAAATGAGAGAATATTAAAAATAACTTGAAGACATTAAGATGATGACAGAATTTTCATATTTGTGTTAATTATCCCTTTAACAATGATTAATAAACCATGTTAACTGAACTGTTTGTCTGCTAGTTAAATGGGTTGGTTCACCAATGTCCTCACGTCCATGTTATGTCCAAACCCGTTTAATTTTAATTTTTCCATAGACTAAATGGACAATGAAAGAAAACTTGCGTCTTTTTATATTATTTTTGGAGTTTGGCACCGTTTACTATATGTGTAGTAAGATGTTCTGCTTTTAAACAAACACACAAAACCTTTATATTCATTAGTCAGAAGAACAGAGTACAAAAATGTGAAATTATATATTTTTCTTGTATATATATTTTAATTATATATATATATATATAGACTTTTCTTGTAGTTATACTGCCATCTAGTGATGGGACAGCGAGATGATCTCGGAGTATCCACAGTTTACAGTACACGTGAAGAATACAAAGTGATGGGATATAATCACTGGACTCACAAACGATTTTCACATTCTCAATGAAACCTGCCATGATTTTCAGTTAAAATATATAAAATATAGGGACAAATTCTCGTTCTAATCTGTTTGTCTTTGGAGTGCTTTGGTTGACCACATTATTGGTAATGTGCCAGTGGTGCTTACAAGAGTACAATTTAATAATTTAATTTTACAGTAAAATGTTTCACAGATGTGAAAAGAGCGTTGTGTGAAGCCAAATATCAAAAGAGCTTTTCAAATGTCTCAAATAGAAAAAACAAGTGGCTGTCAACAATATAATTCTTGCATGTAATAAAACGTAAAGGCTGAACAAATGACCTTTATTCCACTCACAAAACCTCTTAAACGCTGCCATTCAGAAATAAATCTGATCTGATTAACCTAAATATGATATTCTACTACTAATTACATTCATTGCAACTCAAAGAGAACATTAAAATAAATACTACAGAGTTCTTGATTGTCACTGTCAATTAAGGCACAGCCAGTTTTGTCATCACCACAAATTCAGGCACACCGTACATAAACAGACAAATCCATCTCTGCAAACTAAGACATGACTTACACAATACACCAAAGTAAAACACTGCGATTTATCTTTGGTACGTGTGTTTAGGGAAGTTCTAAAAGACAAAAATGCTATTACATTAAATTACATAGCAGGATTCCACCATTCATGGCACATTAAATCACAAACACAGAATTTGATGATATAAGGAAATTAATGATATCCTCAGACATGATATAAACAGTCTATAGTGTTTTTCATAAACCTGAACATTGAACAGGATTCTGTAATTCAGGATTAGTTCAGCGCACAACATTATTTGGCTGGCTGTTATTTTGAGGTAAAAGGAGGCAAATTCTTTGTAAAACGTATTTGCCAACTTTGTCCATATAAGCAGATTTCTTCATTTCTAGGGCATCTTTGTGATTCCAAAGCTCTGTGTGTGTACACACATATACAGAGTAGACAGGACATGCTCTACACACTCAGAGAAATGTGGCATTATAGAATGAAAAACAAGACTCATTTAAATAGTGAAGTAAACCAATCCACTGCCTCAACACCTGATAAAAACCATGAACTAATCTCATGGCTTTCATGGCCAGAAAGTATTTGGACACTAATGAATGTAACGGCATCAGTAAAAAGTATATGAGAACAAATTTTTTTATATTTTTTAATACAGTATTAGTACACTTCACAGAAAGAAGTTTGCAATATTTTAAATAAAACTTCAAAAATGACCTTGAGACTATGATAAGGATATTACTTGTTTGCAGATGCCACTTTACTTTCTTGGAGCCACTGTATGTAGCTTCTATGCACATGTAATTTGTAGTACTTGCCATGAACACAAACATAAAAATCAGATTATTTATATTGCTTTCAAATACTGTAAAGTAGTCATATATGAATGCTTGTTCTGTAAGTGAGGAAATAATAAGCAGCTACATCTGCACTCAGTGCTTCTTTAATTATTTCTAAGGGCAGAAACAGGCTCTGAATGGCATATGATTCTTGTCATTGATTGTGAACTATTAATGGCTTGAAACGTGGCTACAAGGATGCCACAGTCTTAAACCAATATCTCTCTGTCTGGAAGTTATAGGGCGAGAGGCTGAGATCATAAAATGCCTGTTGCTTTTTTGAAAAGTAAAAACATTAATAATAATATGGCTTTAAATAAACAAAAGTTCATATAACAAAAGTAAATTATCTTCAGTGGCTTTTAAACATCTGCACTGTCCGCTTTAAGTATTGGATGATCTGTAGTCTCAGCACATTAATCTGGTAGTTTGAGTTTTTTCTTCTCCACCAGCCTGTCAACAAGCACCACGAAGACCCCAGACAGGACAAGGCAGAGGCCAGACAAATAGAAACTAGCACTGAAGTCGTGAGTCCAGTCCACCAGCCAGCCTGTGACACAGATACACAAAAGGAACATGAGACAGGTGACACAGAGAGCCTTTGGGATA